ATATAGCTGCTGGTATTCTGCATTTCGCCATATAATCATTATACAGTGCACTGCAGAATAACGCTAGCTACAGAGGACTTCAAATCCCAGCAATAGTACATTATAGTATAATGTACTATTGCTACATTCCTCTATAGCTGCTGGTATTTTGCACTGCGCCGCTGTATAATGTACTATATTGTACACCACACTTTTTTTACTTCCACCGTGCCAAGCTTGCTCCCGTGATGGACTACAATCTCAATAGAAACTAGTAACTCATTACATGCAAAGCAATTACATGCTTTGCATGTAATGAGTCTCTCATATATTAGTTTCACCTTTTAAGTTGCATTAGTGAAATAAATGAACTTTTGCACAATATTCTAATAGAGTTTCACCTGCAGTATAATGTACTATTGCTGGCATTTGTTGTATTCCTATATAGCTGCTGGTATTCTGCATTTCGCCATATAATCATTATACAGTGCACTGCAGAATAACGCTAGCTACAGAGGACTTCAAATCCCAGCAATAGTACATTATAGTATAATGTACTATTGCTACATTCCTCTATAGCTGCTGGTATTTTGCACTAAGTAATCGATTTTATGAAAATAATCGTTCGCTGCAGCCCTAATTGAGACACTTTAGACACGAGTGTCAGTTGCTGTGCCAGCTTTAGCATGTTCCTTGGCTGAGAGATATCCTTGTGGACTTCAACATCAGAATTTTTTGTAGAGAATCCAAAACTTGTGGGTTTTGATTGAACCACTCAATTGAGTAATGTGGTGGACCGAGCCATCCAAAAGATCATTTGGCATAGGAAATATTCAGAGATCTGTTTCCACCCAACAATGATATTATACATGGATCCTAGTGGGCTGAGTCAACCCCTAGGCTTCCTCTATATCTTGTTTCCTGAAACCATGAGATATCTCTGCCATTGTTCTGACTATTCCTGTCCACTTGGGAGTTGTTCAGTCTACTATTGCATTTTCCAGACCCTCCTTTTGCCTTCTTCATATAAAATGACTAAAGATCCAAAAGGGGAGAGTGGAAGTATTTATCAAAACTGCAAATATCTGTGTATGTGGGCTTCTTCTTTACCACTTGTATTAATAGGTCTGAGTGGAGTTTATTTAACACCTTAGAACATTTTTGGATGTGACAAGACCTTGGAGACGTGAAAGTGATGTTCAGTAACAGTGTATCATTTCACAAGTTGGCCTCTTGCGTTTTAGTAACCTTTGTACTGTTGTCAGTTTCTGGTGAAACCGGTTCCTGGTGTACAGAATGTGGGCTAAACTTGAAATGTGATGACATTTGTCTATTGCATGGATTCTTTCTAGTCTACGGTCCTATCTTTGAAAGCCATCAATGCATGGCCTGCTAGAGGTACTTAGAATGATTTGTACCCTATTGGAAATATTGGGGCAATTTCACCGGATGCTTTTACTTTCAAGTCAGAATCCATGGGAATTGTATTTTAAAATCGTTTCAGATATGATTTAACCCCTTCTCTGCCATGCCCTGGCTAACTCTTTTAACCTCAGCTGGCCGGACCATTTTTGCAAGGTTTTTCACTTTTTTATTTTATTTTCAACTGCAGCTTTTTAGAGTTTGTAAAAGACCACCGCACCACACATTTTCTAAAAGCACAGGTCCAGTAGAATAAAGATGGTGCTACTAATGTTGTAGGTCCCATAACAGTTGCGCAAATGTTTATCAAATCAATATTTGAAAAAAAAAATACACTAAAATCATTATCCTTGCACACAAAAAACCCATAATTTACAAGATACCTACTAAATCTAAAAGATGAAACTGTATTGCGTTAATAAGAAACATATATTTAGTAAATTTTAAATTGCGCCTTTTTGTGAAAAACAAAGAAACGCAAAACGCCCTATCTGCAGCCCTGTTTGTGTGCTGTGTTGGTGTGATGTGATAAAATTATGCAGGCATACAGTTAATCACAGCAGTGTATTACAACCCAGGGCAATGTGTCGGAATGCTTTGCCATGCGCTGCCACACAGTTGAATTGACGTGTTTCTCTTTAAAAAAACAAAATTAAGCACTGTGTGTTCTAACACACCACAGCGATGTGCATAACTTGCACCACAATGTATTTTTTAAATATACTTTACTTTCAGGGGCTTTGGGGACATATCAGGGGTCTAAACAGAAATGGAGAAAAAGATTGAGGACACAGAGTCCTCAATCTTTTTCTTGCAGCTCCGACACTCAATGAACACGATCACTTAGTACAGAGGCTTCCTGTCTATTCAGATACTGAAGAGGCATAGTACTCTCCTCAGTTATGAAAGGACAGGAAGCCTCTGTACTGAGTGCTCCTGTTCATTCATAAACTGAGCACATCGTGATTATGTCCCCAGTCATAATTGAGCAGGAAGTGATGTAGAATCACCTACTATGGCCTCAGTTAATTACAAACACCAAGTGATCAGTACTGATCATTCAGTGTTTGTTCTGAACAGGAAAGGTTCAGTAAATATTTCACATATCTACTGATCCTCCACTCTCCATCCTGCGCTGCTCTGCCACCTCCCTGCTGTCCCTGCAGCTTGCCACCCTGCACGGCCTCCTGACAGGTCTCTCCTCCCCGCTGGGTGTCGGCAGCTGGATCAGCTCTGTATCCCCTCCGATTCCCCACTCTGCTGATGCAGAAATGGGAGAGCAGTGGGGATCGGAGAGTACACATACCACAGCATGCAGCTAGCTCCCAGAGGAGGAGAGAGCGGCAGGAATAGCGGAAGGTGGTGGGGGAGTCTCATTTTGAATAAATAGCGGTTATAACAGCTATTCATTTACAGAGTAGTCAGGGGAAACCTTTTACTATAAGTTTATGGTTGCTGAAACGACCATGAGCTTGTAGCAGTAGGCTGAATGCCAGCAAGGTAAGGCATTCTGACCTTGCCACCTGCAAATGGTTTTGTTTTGATGTATGCCTTATACGTTGTTGGCGGGGAAAGAGTTAATGGTTAACTATAAAATAGCCCAGTACTTGGCAAAAAATGACTAGTTAACTGGTCTGTGTATGCTCACAGTTCAGTAACTAATAAATGGCAGTGGTTTCATAGCCCTCATAGTGGTCATTATGCCAGAGAGAAAAGGTGATGAGGCAGAGTAGACATAGGACAGTCACCATCACTGAAGGTTTAATTGCTGCAGATGGTACCAACTATGTTTTGGCTGTGTAATTCAGTTACAGCTACACCTATGCACCAACAGGGTTGGGCAACTCTGGCCCTCCAGCTGTGGGGAAACATCAAATCCCATCATGCAACTGCTTCTGGGAGTCCTGCCAGTCTTGCAATGCATTATGGGAATTGTAGTCCACAGCAGCTGGAGGGTCAGAGTTTGCCTACCCCTGCACTACAACATAATTCTGGTATGTTTGAAAACAAGGTACAGACCAGAATTACCTTTTTATTTTTAAAGGGAATCTTGGGGTGCAACAAAATACCTGAGTAGCCTTGAATGGAAGCTGGCATTTAGTAAGTTGTACTAGTTCTGCAATGGCTTTCTGTACGGATAACATACCAACTCTGCAGAAAAGAGGGCAGCAAGAACAGAAGCATCCTTTTGGATGATGAGTATTTAGGAGCTGGTAATTTTCAAGTCTGCTGCCTCCCTCGTTATAGGGGGGAATAAGCTAATATAATAATGGCGATTCCAGCAGCTCTGCAATTTCAAGGCGTAGAAACTGGCGTACTTTGTGTAGATTTGCCGCCTAATATAAACTTGCAGTCCCTGTGGCTATTCCCTGACCTACTTCCATACACCTGATAGATAAGTAGACAGATAAGAGGCTATTGAAGAATGTTAGAACTTGCATAATCGTAATGCCAACCAGCTGAACCTTTGTTGGAAATACTCCTTGCATTTCATTTGATGCCAGTTTTCAGTTTATGTACTGACACATTTACAGTAATGTTTACATTTGGGATTGGGATATGGATATAGTGTGAAGTAAATATTGTATCTTATTTCAATATTGTGTCGTCGTTTGCCCCAAAGTTGGATATTCCCCAACTTCTCTGCTCCTTTCTCCTGTATTCCCTTCTCTTCTTCCCCCACCACATTGCAGACAATGTGCAATGGTGCATGTAGTTTGACTCCTGCTCTTTCTATATAGTTGTTATAGTTTTACTTTAGAGCTGTTAATGAAGACTCACAGTGTAATGTTGGCAGCAGCTAAATAACTAGTAGACCTCCCCGTAGCTTAGCAGTAGGAAAAAGAAAAGAAATATACATTGCTTTTCATTTTAAAATCTTAACATTTTAAGACACAAAATCAGTGGCGACTCCTTTTCATATTGAATAGTAAACACATTTTCGCCAATAAAATAACCAAAAATAAGAAGGCTGAACTCTAGGTAGATATAAAGAAACCATTGCATGCAGCTCTGTAATCGCAAATACATAAACTGCTCGCATTTAAAAATAAAATGAAGTACCTGAATTTGGACTCTTGTAGTAGGAAAGCTGGAGTTTGAGGAAGACGCAATGCTTTCACTGGGGGCAGATCCAGGATAATCTGGGCACAGAGGTAGTGGGTTGAATAAAGTTGACCATCAGATTCAGGACGTCTAGCTGCAGAAAATAATTTGCTGCAAGGGAAATCTCTGGATTGAATGTGGATATTGCAGCAAAAGCTGGTTTTGGATGTTTTTGGAGTTCTGCTTTAAAACATGGGCTCTCTGACAGTGTTATGGCCAAATGGCAAAGGGGATGTTGTATCCTGTGACTGCCTTCCCACAAAAACTGTTTCTTTTCATCTATCAACATTTAAAGAATGAAAATATGGATCCATGGTTGGTTTAAAATATAAACTGCATCCATAGCTGCAAAAACTTTACAAGTCTCCATGATGTAAACATGTTGTACAATTTTTTTATATTTGTGTTTTTATTAGGTGAGCACTCTAGCCATTTTCTTTAATTTCACTTTTAAATTTGCCAACTGTGTAAACTACTTGTTTTTTATTCTGCAGGCGAACAAGTGGCGGTATACCGGACTATGGATGGCAACGTGTATGTCTTGGATGCCTACTGCCCTCATCTCGGTGCCAATCTTGCCGTGGGAGGTAGAGTTGTTGGAGATTGCTTAGAGTGCCCGTTTCATGGCTGGCAGTTCCATGGAAAGGATGGGAAGTGCGTCAGTATACCATATGCTGAAAAAGGTAAGAATCCTAAACACTCAGGCATGTAATGCAGAACTTGAGGCCGATGTAACAAAACATCCCTTGTGTTCATTTTTGAGTAGAAAATTGCCAGGGGACTGCCTAAAATCCTAAAACTTAGAGCATGTGAGGATGTTTATTATAGATCAGTTCACTTTTACATTACACAATGATTCTAGTCTGTTCTAGCACTGGAGGCTGGGGAGGTGTTTAGTGTAAAAAAAAAAGGTGGGCTGAATAGCATTGCAAATATTTTGTCAGGTGAAATCTGTATAGTGAATATAAATGTAATCACTAAATCTCATAAGCGCAGTCCACCTTTTTCACCCAAGGGGTCTAGTTGTTCCACTGTCGGTCCATAAGCCAGCCTATGTAAAAGTCATGGTTTCCGTGCACTGTACTGATATGGCCAGCTAGCATGAAACATCTGTATGCAGTTTGTAATGTAAATGCCTCTATTATATTAGGCTGTACCCTTTTACTATAAATCAGTGGATCTGAATGTACATTTGGCTACACAAGCATAAAGGAGTGACTTGCATGCCTCCACCCACTTTTCTAAAACGAGGAATGATCTGTGATAGATGCGAGACCAGCAGATACCAGAAGGCTCTACACCCTTTCTAAAACTATAGTTCACTTTAACAAATTAAACTTGTAGTGGGGTAAAATAAATGCCAGCTTTGTAAAGTGAGTGCCACAATGTATCTTGATTTTGACAATTCAAGCTCCACAGAACTCTAGTTCTACCAATTTTGCATAGGCATGACCTCTGCCCCCTAGGTAGTGGGAGGTGACAGTGGTGTGTGTGTCCTATCTCCCTTTATCTAGAAGATTTTCTTTCATGGTAGCACTCTGGTGTGAGCTGTCAGACCAAAGGTATAATGTATCACCCTTTATCTGCGGTTTTAGTTTATATTTTCCTAGACACATGTTCCCTTTAAAGATTAGATTATGGGGGACATGCCATACAAGCTGGATTCCTCCCCTTTGTTTCATTTCCAGTTTTTTCACATGCCTTCTTTTATACATGTTATGTAACTTGCTGCACTTGGTCATTCTGCATTTTCAGTGCCAGAGTTTGCCAAGATTACAAAATGGCCAAGCTGTGAGATAAATGGAATGGTGTTTATGTGGTATCACTGTGATCATATTGAGCCCACTTGGACCATCCCAGAACAGGAGGAAATCACCAGTAAAAAGTGGGTGTACAGGGGACGTACTGAGCACTATGTAAATGCACACATAGAGGTAAGAATTGCTTTCCTTGTGCTGTAACTCCAATATTTGGTAGCCGTGTAGCTTTCATGTGCATTTTTTTTTTATAGTTGCATAGTATTTGGGGTTGAATAGAGACATACGTCCAAGTCCAACCCATATCGGTCCATGCATCATCTCATTCTTAGGGATACTGGTATCCCTGGATATTACAGCCCCTCAAGAAATTGTCCAAACGTTTCTTGAACAAACCTACACTCTTGGCTGAAATCACTGCCGATGGCAGTGAGTTCCAGACCTTAACCGCTCTTACTGTAAAGAACCCTCTTCGCCCATTGTGCTGGAATTTTTTCTCCACCAACTTTAGGTGGTGGCCTCTAGTCTTTGTAATGGAGTTAATCTCAAACAGTTTGTTGCCAATGTTGCGGTCACCATTGAACATCTTGTACATGAAAATCATATCCCCTCTTAATCTCCTTAATTCCAGCATAAACATGTTTAAGGTCAGAAGCCTTGTCTCATAGCTCTGGTCCTCCATTCCCCTAATTAGTTTTGTTGCCCTCCGCTGGACTCCAGTTCAAGGACATCCATTCCCAGTACCGGCGACCAAAACTGGACCTCCCTGTTGGCTGTGCTTTTAAAGGTGAACGCCTGGGAAATGGCTCAATACGCAATTGAAAATGACCTAGAAATATAATTTTACCACTGGGAAATAAAACCGTCCAGTTTTCACTGCGATGCTTCTGCCTTTCCTAGTCAGTTTTGCTTTTACAGTGGTTTCTCTTTTAGATGGCACTACAACCCATAGTGGTCTTGGCCTTCTACAAGAGTTTCTACAATTCCTTTTGGTTGTAAGCCATGGCCTTTCACTTTCTACATCGCATCACCTTCATCATTCGCAAGAATTCAAATGTTAAGTCTTGCTCTTGTGAGGGAAGTGTAACTTTCTTGGGAGTAATTTGTCTCCAGTCAGGTGACCTGCATGTCTTAGCAGTTCTGAAGGGACCTGGTTATACAGATTGACTGATGTATTTGTACCACCTGTGTTCAAAAATACATTTACAATTTTTACACTACATGATTGCAGTGGTGTCCCCATAATGAGGTAAAATGAAGCAGTAGTCTCAGGCAGCATCTCATTGGGGGCAGCAGCATGGATTACTTAACAGCACCATCATAGCACCCCTCCCACCTGACAGCTCAGCCCACTCCTCCTGGCCGACTGAGCTGAAAAAAGTAGGGACGACCCTGTATGATTGGGATTAAATGGTGAGTTCTAACATTTTAGAGGCAATTTACAATAGAGGTAATCTATTCTTTGCTTCCTCACTCTACTAAATGTTTTGTCATTATTGGTGATAAATCGCGTACTAAGGGCAGCAATAAAGAAAAAAAAACTCTAAGCCTTTCCCACTCTATTCAAAGTGAAACAAAAGTTTGTATACATCAACTGGAATTTGTAAAGTTTAGTCACATTGGTGGCTGTGAGCAGAAGAGTGAGTTAACGTTTACCCTAGGGGGGAAACATACTCTGGGAGGTATTTTATCAAAACTGGAGCAGACAAAATCTGGAGCAGTTGCTTATGGTAACCAATCAGCTTCTTCAGCTTGTTCAGTTAAGGTTTGAAAATTAAGGGGATGCTGATTAATTGTTGTGCACAGCTACTCCAGATTTTGTGTGCCCCAGTTTTGATAAATTCCCTTCTCTGACTGTTGCAAAAATTGCATTCTAAATGGTATACTTTTGACTAGGGATGCACTGATCGGCCGCTGAAACATATCGACAGAAAATGGCACTTTTGGCTAAATGCCAAAAATGCAATTTTCCTGCCGATACATCGGCACATCCCAGGTTTCTTTCCTCCCCGCTGGGCGCTGCTGTGTCCCAGCAGGGAGGAGAGAAAGTGACTGCCGGTCGAGTGCTGCGGGAGGAGAGCGCTGTGAGCGGCCGGTGTCTCTCCTCTGACATCGCTCAGACACCTATCACAGTCCGGCAGAGTGGTGTGGGGGCGGAAACAGCCCGCGCTGTCACAGGAGGCTGGGCTCGCCTCCCTGCTCGGCTTTGTGTGACAGGAGAGCGGGAACAAACACTCAACGATCAGTGATCGCTGAGTGTTTATAGATAATTGAGGACCTGGTATGTGTACTATATTCTCAATTATGAATGGTAAGTGATCTACATCACCTCCTGTTCATTCATAATTGTGGTTATAGTAAATATACTCTGTCATGTTATGAATGAACAGGAACACTCAGAGGATTCCTGTTCATTGATGACGGTTGATACAGAAAGAGATTGAGGACTGAGTCAATCTTTTTTTCTATTTTAAAAGGGAAATATCAGGGGTTTTTAGACCCCCAATATTTCCCCGAAGCCCCTAAAAGTAAAGTGAAAAATAAAAATATTTAATAAAACATGAATTCATAAATATTAAAAAATTAAAGTTTATAAAAAATAAAATTTTAAAATTGTAAAAAATTAAAATAACATTTTTCGGTTTTAGCCTGACAATTTTTTTTGTTCAGGTTTTAAATTTCTATTTCGGTGCACCTCTACTTTTGACTGAGGAAATGTACACTAAGTAGAAGGAAGCTTTTGTGCAGACTTATTTGTTTGTGTACATAGCTGCCTTTATGTACCTATAAAAATAAACAAGGCTTTGTGTGTGTCTCTTTCAAATAGATCATCATTTTCTTTCACCAAATGCCAACTGCTGGTGACCAATTGTATCTTCTCATTCAGAACTACGGTTTACCAATGAGCTGTTTTTAGAATGAGGAAACTTCTCTGTAAATGCATGGCATGAATCCAGGGGCCTCTCACCCTTGCTGTGCATTAACATCATTGCAGAGATATGCAAGCTGTATGTGGGCATTCATGTTTATCTTGCTGCTCAGTCTGATTTTGTGATGAGGGCCTGATGTCTTAAAGCAGGTTACCCTCAGACTTGCAGAAGGATTGCTTTTTCATAGAAGTTGTGTAAAAAGGTGGAGCCTTATTAACCACTGACAACTTGGGTCACTATTTGAAAGTGCCATTCTGAGTCTCTTGTCACTTCCAGGACTCCTTGTTCTTTGTTGATGGTTCTTAATGACATTGGCTGTAGGAAGGGTGAGGCACTAGCCTCAGGTGCAGCTGCCAGGGGGCACAGCCAGGGTCGGACCTGGTGCCCATTGTGGGTAAGAGGTGGGCGGTTATTTGGGATTTGGATGCAGTGCTGATGACCTCACATTACCATTTCACTTGTGCAGCTCTGCTGTGTATTGGCTGGTTCCCAGGAGGGGAGGAGTTGAGGATGGCTGCAGTGCAGATTGCCTCACTTATTGGCTGATTCCCAACCAAAATGTGTTTTTTTTTTTTTTTAAATCTCCTGAGCAGCCCAATAACCATTTAGTTCCAACTCCCCTATATGTAAATGTGCAGACCCAACATTTGGAGCTGAATTAGAAAGAGAGCTGACATCACCTGCCTTTGCCTTTGACTGCTGTAGCTGTTGGTGGGAAAGAGTTCCTTTCACCTGCCGCAGCAGATGGTCCTTCAGCATAGAATAACTGGAACTGTGTGGTCACGTGACTGCTCAGAAAAAAAAGAACCTTTTGAGATCAAAGGTTCAAAACATGCTGTATGTGTGCTGTTGCGAAGGATTCCACAAAAATTCCCAAGACAGTTTACACTAGAACTGGGGTCTCCATTTTAGATTTTCCCACACCAGAACAGACGGAGGTACATTTTTGCAGTGTGAACACAATAAAAACATGATCGAAGCTTTAACCAATCCCAACTCTACCCAAAACCAAAGATGCGCTTCAAGGTGTTTCACATTGTTGAATTACACAAAAAAAGCAAAACTGCTCTACTGCCTTCACCTTAAACAGTATTAGAGGAAAAAGATGTCCCTATCCTTTGCCCTATTTTACAATCAGTACCTGAGATTTAGATACTTTGGTTCTAGAGAATGTTAGAACTTTTTAGTCTTTGCTTATAAATTCTCATTCACGGATTACAGGAAATACCAGAGAATGCAGCGGACGTTGCCCATCTTGCTTTTCTGCACGAGCCGAACATCCTGAGTGGGGGTGACTTAAGATATACTAAGTCGCGGCTATGGGAATTTGCCAGACACTCCTGGAAGGTAAGACGGTCAACTTTGGGCCTAACCCCTGATGAGGACATGCTTGGTCATTGACTTGCTAGTGTTAACAAAAAAAATTAAAAATTGCCTTCCGTAATGCTTGTTTTAAAACAAGCCAATGTTCTGTCCTGTAAGGTTTCATTTAAAGCTGAACACCGAGATGAGCAAATATTGTTTTAATACACAGCTGTATTCTTGCCTGGAAGCTTGTAGTTCTTATTCCAGATCTGTACAGTAATCCCAGTGTAAAGAAATTGCCTGTGTACAGGAGGTTCCTGTAATAGACCAGTCACTGCTGCTCTCTCCCCTTGTACAGGGTGACTGGTCTTGTATCTGCCCCCGCCTGTAGTTTTCTGCAAGCAGCCTGTAGTGTGTAGACCTGCTGGGTCCCACACACAGCTCTTTGCTCTGCACACTGTCATGACTATATTACATGGTAAAAACTGGGTTTGCAAAGGTATTTGGTGCATTTATATCCTTTGTGGCTATTGAGGAAAACATCAAAACTTCGTTATCTGTAATACCTGTATCCCTGGACCAAAGCAAATTTTAAAATTTTCACTGTAGACCTGTTTAATCAGAAATACCTTCTGTTGGTACTTGGGAACTTCTTAACTAGGCTTTCTTTTGGCAATATCGCTTTGCAAAATTGCTTTATTTGCTATGTTTATCTATAGACAAATCACTTTCAGGTAATTGGACACTGGCAAATCAAAACTGCAGGAGTGCATCCACACTCTAACTGGACATTCTACCCGCTGTGACTGCATAGTCACAAGGGGAAGCATCACTGCCACAGCACTGCAGTGCTACTATTCGAGCCTGAGTCACGTTATGGTGTCTGGACACAGGACACCCTCACCTCTTGGCTGTGTTTTTCTTTTTTGAGGGAGAGTTGCAAATGGTTACTGGGGTGTAGGGAGACTTCACCAAATCACAGTTCTGGCA